CTTTTGTCGTTTTACAGGAACACAAAAATTGTTATTATAGCTGGAGTACTGTCGGAGTTGGTGTGAAACATAATTATATGATGATCCTGTCTAGTTAATATATGTTTGCAGTCATTCAAACAAGATTTAGAATATTATAATAACTTAATTTACAATAAGATATATACTAGCTTTGTAACTGGTTCGTTGGCCGGTAAATTTTGTTTGAAATATGTTTTATGAAATATTTTTTCTCCTATATTGTCTATTTTGTTCATATTATCATTGTCGTCCCTCATCCTGAATCATGTGTACCTTTGAGCTTGATCAGTTGGCCGGAAGTTATTTTTCTTTAAGGTAATTTAGTTTGTACCACACGACAATATTTTAACACCCATAAAATTGTTGTGCATTATTATTATGATAGTACAAAATTAAACATTGATATAATTTAGTAACTCATTAGAATAAGAAATTTGTTTTGTGATCTATGGTAGTATATATTTTATGACGGTAGAATCGAATGATATTGATATAGTTTAGCAACTATCGAATATGAGAGTGACTTGTGAATATATGATTGTGATAATGTTTTTGAAAGGAAAAAAATTCAACTTATATCAAAATGGGTATCATTGAGTAGATCACATAAAATCTGATTTTTTTGCGCAACAATATTTAAATTCGGAGTTGAAGCGGAAAAAATATGGATCGAATAAGAATAGTATGGTGATTGAAAAATAAGAGAGAGAGTGTGTGTTAAGTGGTACAATCTAATTAGAGTACATAATAACTACAAAGAAAAATTATAATTAAAAGAAAAAAAAAGAAGTTACAAAAACATCTTATTAGTGGAAAGAGAAGTTAAGAAAAAATCTGATTAGTGGAAAAGTGACGATGTAGATGCGTAGGAGGGTTGGATTTTTAAAACGGCGAAGGTGGTTATTGGAAAAGTCTTTATATATATATAGATATATAGATATAGATATATCTGTGTGTGTCTGTTTGGACTTTGGAGTGATGGGATTCTCTAGAATTCCTCCCATGAATTTCTGTGCTAGCTAGCTTGAAACTTGGTGAAGATGTGTCACGTATTCGCATTCCAGGAAGCATCTAATTACCTTCAAAATTGGTAATTGGGATTTTTTATCGATATTAGTCTGTGTAATTAATTAATTGCACACCCCAGTAAGTAATTAATATTTTTCACGTTACTGCGGTACAGTAGCAGTAAATCCAAATTTCTGCGAAGCCGCACCGAAGCATATTGAATGGCACGTGCAGGCACTTGTAGTTTTGTCTTCGTCTTAATTTGTTTCGTTTACTGATCCCTTGGTCTAAATCCCCAAATCAGTATTACTTTTTTTTTTTGCATTATAAGGAGGCCGAAGGCCGAGAAACAAGAGGGGAACAGGGGGGATTACCCAGAAGGGTCAAGAGAAGGGGAAGGAATAAGAACTTGTCGATCGAAAGTAACACCCATCATATCGTCTATAAGAATCTGAGCTAAGCCTGATGGTGGGTTTGCAAGCTCATATATACCGTTGGGGTAGACGAGACTGTGCTTCGAGAGCCAGTCCGCGACTCTATTCCCTTCACGATATATATGAGTAATGCTCACCAACCATCCCTGGCTCAATTTCCTACGGATTCCTGAGAGAAGCGTCGCGTGCGGGTGAATCGGGTCATATCTGGAACTAATCAGCTGAGTGACCATCATCGAATCTGTCTCCACACGAAGAGCCCGGCACCCAGCCTTCCAAGCAATATCCAAGCCATAAGCGAGAGCCCAGAGCTCAGCCAGGAGCGCGGTCGCCGAACCGATATTGGCGACAAAGCCTGCTACCCACTGACCTGTGGAGTCGCGGAGAGCACCCCCGATACCTGCCAGACCCGGGTTACCGTTCGAGGCGTCATCAATATTAAGCTTCATCCATCCTTCAGCCGGCGGTGTCCAACCGATGTTGGCCAAGACTCTTTGCGGCGCCTAGTTTCTGTTGTGGGAGAGAGGATCAGGGGCCCGCCACGCTGCATTCCACAAACTGGTACGAGCTATGATCGAGTTCTCCAGGGAGGGAGCTGACAACGCCGCGTTGATTCCCTTGAAACAGGCCGTAGAACGGTTCTTCCACAAGCACCAAGAAGACATACCGAAGAAAGCTGGCCACTCGATCCTCGTAGCCGTGGACGAGCTATTGAGAAGATTCCACCTGAACCACTGGTCGCAGCTGCTAGTGAAGAAAGCGTGCTGCTGCTGGTAAGGGACCTGACGCGCCCAGAAAAACATGGCCGGGGGGCAGTCCCGGAGCAAGTGGAGAATGGACTCCCGACGCCCATGGCACCGAAGGCAGTGGGGACTCGTCGCCAGCTTCCCTGAAAAAGCCAACCACATGAAGCTCCTTACCCTCTCTGGAACTGGAAGTCTCCAGATGGTCTTCCACACTTTCTCATTCGCATCAGGCTCCCTCTGGTTGAGCATGTTGAAGGCCGACTTGACGCTGAACCTCCCGTCCCCTGACGCAGTCCAGAACAGAGTGTCCTCTTCCTGTGATAACTTGTCGACAGCTATGCTCAAAACTTTCTGGTACAAGTCGGCTGGAAGAAGGTGCTGAAACATGTCTGTTTGCCATCTGCCGCCTTCGTCCACAAAGTGCGCCACCGAAGCTCCGTCGGAATTTCACCAATCGCCACTTCCTTGAGAGGAACCTGCAGAAGCCACAAATCATGCCAAAATTTAGTACGCCGACCATTCTTAATGTTCCACGCACAACCTTTTTTCAGAAGAGTGGCAGTTTTCGAGAAACTGCTCCAGGTGAAGGAACTTCCCTTGATGTTGCGGAGCAGATCAAGGTCATCGGCTTGGCGGCCATACTTGGAGTGCATAATTCGTGCCCACAGACTTTCCCGATCTTTCATAAGTCGCCATCCATTCTTAGCAAGCATAGCTATATTAGCTTGTCTGGTGTCTCGAAGACCCACTACACCTTGCAGCTTCGGGCGAGTCATCGTCTCCCAGGCCACCAAGTGCATCTTTTTTTTATCCTCCTCTTACCCCCACACAAAATTCCGGCTTATCCTGTCAATACTATGACAAACTCCAATAGGAACAAGCTCCGTCTGCATGGTGTAGACCGGAATCGAGGCCGCCACCGACTTGGCCACCGTCAGTCTAGCCGCGAGGGATAGACGCTTAGCCTTCCATGGCGCCATCTTCTTCTGAATCTGCAGAAGAAGAGGCTCGTATCTCCCTTTGGTCACCCCTCCTGGATGGCATGAATCCCGAGGTAGCGCCCAAGATGGGCTTTCAAAGGAATACCAGCACCCCTGCTCAGTCGCTCAACTCTCTGTCGGCTCATGTTGGGAGAGACGTAGATGATGGATTTGTTGAGATTCACCCGCTGACCCGAACTGATGCAGAAATCCTCAAGGCACCTCTTTATAACTCGGATCTGCTTCATTTCTGCTTCAGCAAAAAGCAGCAAATCATCTGCAAAAAACAAATGAGTTAAGGGAGTACCATCAGCGGTGATCTTAATAGGCTTCCATTGGCCATCATTCACCGCTTCATCGATTTTGTGAGAGAGCCTTTCCATACAAAGAACAAAAAGGTAAGGGGAAAGAGGATCTCCCTGACGAACTCCTCTGGAGGGAGAAATCGGTTGAGATAACTCTCCATTCCACAGAATTCTCATTCGATTCTGCTCCACGCAGTACATGATGTTGTTAATCCAACTGCTAGGCAACCCAACCTCTTTCAGCGTATCCCTCAGGAATTCCCACCTCAGCATGTCATAGGCCTTCTCCAAATCTATTTTGAGGATCATCCCTCCCTTTCTAGCCTTCCTTCTACGGAGAGAGTGCAGAAGCTCCTGAACAACAATAATATTATCCGCCGTCTGTCTGCCTGGTATGAAGCTACTCTGACGTGGCGATATCAGTTTCCTCATTAGCGGTTTCAGTCTGCTGGTCAGAGCCTTGGTGATTGTCTTGAGACAGACGTTATTGAGAGAGATAGGGCGTAGCTGATTAACTCTCTCTGGGCTGTCCACTTTTGGAATAAGCACCAAGTTAGACTCGCAAACTGTCCCGGGAAGGTCCCCTGAGGCGAAGAAGTTGATAGCCATCTCGCTGAGATCCTTCCCCACCACGTGCCACATTCGTTGATAGAACACTGCTTGGTACCCATCCGGACCAGGAGCTTGATACGGTTTCATCTCGAAGACGGCCTTATGAATATCCATGATGGTGAAGGGGCGAAGGAGAAGGAGGAGATCTGCCTGATCGATCCGAGGGAAACAATTCTTTGGCATCCTGTCCTCATAGACCGAGCCATCCTGTGTAAAAAGATTAGTGTAAAAATCAAACACAAGACAGGCAAGAGAAAGAGGATCGGTCACCCAATTGCCGCTCGAGTCCTGCAGTGCCTCTATCTTATTCCTCCGTCTTCTGATGTTGACTTGTTGGTGGAAGTAAGCTGTATTCCTTTCCCCAAACTTGACCCACTTCTCGCGAGAACGTTGGAACCACAGCATCTCTTCCTGTTCCAGGACATTGTCGAGATCTCGCTCGAGGCTGGCGTGAAGCTTGGCGAGGCCCGGGTTGAAACCGTTTACCCACCTCTCTTCCACCCCTCTAAGACGAGCTAAAAGTCTCTTCTTTTTCTGATGGATATTCCCAACAACATGGCGATTCCACTCCTGCAGTTTCTCAGCCAAAATTTTAAGGGCCATGTGAAGAGGAGCTTCCGAGTCCCAAGTTCCCGTCACATACTCTTCAAGGTTGGAATGGGAGAACCAAGCTGCTTCGAATTTGAAAGCACGGGCCGGGGATGGCGAGGCTCCAGCTACCATGACCGTCGTCAGAATCGGATTATGGTCTGAATGCAGTCTGGGCAGGTGGAGGACAGTCGTGTTGGGGAAGGCAGAGTTCCATCTAAGGTTGCACAGGCTTCTGTCTAGCCTGCTCGCCTTATAGGTGCTTGACTGCTCGCCTCTGCTCCAAGTATACTTCGTACCCCCAAATCGACAAGCTCCGCTTGATTGATCCTGTCATTGAAAACTCGACATCGCCGAGCAGAGTTGCTCGCAGGGGGACCGGCTTTCTCATCCAAACTGCGGATGGCGTTGAAATCGCCGGTTAGGATCCACGGGATATCAATTCGTCCGCTTAAATCAATAAGAGAGTTCCAAAGGCTGTGCTGCCGATAAGAGCGAGGAGAGGCATAAACTGCTGTTAAAATCCACGGGGTCAGATTGCTATCAGAAATACGGAGGGATAGATGTTGAGAGCAGGCTGAGATGATTTGAGTGTTGAACCGGTGCCCATCCCAGAAAATCCAAATCCCCCCTTGCCGCCCGTCGCCTCAACTCTCAGAGAATTGGGGAAGCCCATTCTATCACACAGGGAGCTAGCAGAGTCACCACTGATTTGGGGCTCCAGAAGGATAACAAAATCAGGTCGATTCTGAAGAATCGCAAGCTTGAGCGCCCGTATAAAGGCTCTGCTCCCTGCTCCACCTACATTCCAAGAAAAGATTTTGATGTTAGGTTGTGTCGACATAAGGATAAACAAGGTAAAAGAAAGAAAAAGGAAGACTGAAGAGAGATCAGTGATCATTTGGTTGGCCATGCTCCGCAGTCGTCAGAGGAAGAGCCGCTTCCTGATTAGGGATTGTTGCCGCTCTATCTTGCTCCAGAGACAAAATTGCAGCAGCTTTCCCGTTCTCAGACGTCCAGGCACTGATTTCTTGAAGGGTTAGGGAGGCAAGGCGAGCTCTAGGCTTCGCCCTTTTTTCTTTCATTGGTGACCAGCGCTGGATGGTCCGGATCGGAATCATCTTGGCCGGCGACCCTTTCCGGACCCGGTCTGAAGTTTTCTTGTTCTTCTTCAGTCTGGTGGCCGTCGATAGCTCCCCACGTTCCGTCGTTTTTCCCTCTTCTCCCTCAGACTGTTGAAATTCCACTACCTGCAAAACGGTACCGTTAGTACCAGTCGTCGAGCGTATCGCGAAGGGGAGGGTCTGGCGCCCGGAGGTGTCAATCTGGGCTGGGGATCCGGTTGTTTGGGTAGAGGGCGTTGGGCTTGGGCTTGGCACCGGGTGGTCGGTGCTTGCAGATTGCTGGCCCGAGGATGATGCTTTATCAGTCCCGTGCCCAGTCTTCGGCCCAGAAGAAAAAGCCCGCTGGCGACCCGGCCCTGGCCCCAAAACCCCTTTGGCTGCCATGGTATCCACTTTCAATTTCTCCTTTCCTTTTATCGATTCTTCATTCCCTTTCTTCACATTATTGCCTTTCTTTTCTTGTGAAGTCACCTGTTGAGAAGAGCTGCCAGTAGGTTTCATCAATTGGGGAACCAAATCTTCCCTTTCCCTGATAACCACACCCCCTTTTCCATTTTTGGCCGGATTTCCCTGGGTTGATTGCGCCACTTCGGGCCCCGAATTTCCTTTCTTCTGCACATCCCGAGATCCACACCTTGATTTTCGGCTGACCAACATCCAAGGTCCGAAGCCGGGATTTTCCTCCGACGGTATTCCCGGTGACATTTCCGACGTGGCTCCGTCGGGGCTAGAGTTGACCCGCGGCAGAAGCGTTGGTCGGAGCTGTGGGCAAGTGTCAGCGGTGTGCCCAATCTTTCCACAGTGAAAGCATACCTGAGGGAGATTTTCGTACTCCACTCTCTGCCAAGCATCATCTAACCAAATTCGAGGCACGAGATGTTTCGATAGATCTACCTCCATCGCGATGCGAGCGAATTTTGCACGTTCTTGGTTCAATGTGTGGTAGTCCAGCTTGATAGTTCTACCGATTAAGTTCCCCAATGTCGTCAGGACTTCCCTGTGATAAAAATGGATCTTAAGCACTAGGAGTTGCGCCCAAACGATCATTGTTCTCGGGAGCGGGTCAGACACCTTGAAGTTCGGTGACCATTGCTGAACCACCAAGTAGTGGTCGAAGATCATCCATGGTCCCTCTGTCAAGGCCCGGAAGTAGTCTTGTTCATTATCCAACTTAACCAAGAAGCAATCGTAATCGAGGTCCCGAATCTCCAACGTTCCCGTTGGTTTCCACAACCCACGAAGCCTGGAGCAGAGTGTCATAAATCCAATTTTGGATCCGAGTAATCGCACCACCAAGGAGCGCTGCCATGGGGCACAGATCTTGTGTTTGAATTGTGGAGAGATACTCAAGGCTGGTTCGCCGTCCTTCACCCCCCGAATCAGGTTGTGCTCGCCCACGGGGGTCCAAGTTGTTGCACACGGCGGAGTCGACTGTATATCTTGTAGGCCTATGACCGCCTTGGCATATGAAAAAGGTTGCACGACCTTGTCTGCATTTTGGTTCGACGCCAGCTGGTTTCCTTCCGAAGAGGAAGGCGATGAGTCCACGATCATGTCTGACACCGGAGGTGCCACTTCCGCAGGGGCGGTGTCCGGAGGTCTGTCCGATGGAAAGGGCGCCGGCGGTGAAGCCACGGTTTCGCCGGGAGCACTCGAGAGCATTGTGACTTAATATGAGCCAATGATATATGTATATCTGGAGCTTTGATACTTCAAATCAGTATTACTTTGTAATTAGTCAAAGTTCCTACCATTATTATGATTGTCACTGTAGTTGCAATAGTTCCACCAAATGTCCAAATTCATTCAGTTGGTCAAAAAAGCTGAGGAAAGAGCTGAAGCACACAGCCCATTTAGTCATCATCATGTCCTTTCTTACTAATTTATCTATACAAGAAGGCAATCCTCCTCCCCATCTCTTTTAGTTCCCTCAAGGACTAACAGCTAATAGTGCAAACTCTAAACTTTCTATCTATCCATCTCTACGAGAAGCTTTCATCCAATTGCGAGAAATATGATGAATCACACAAGTTGATCGCGGCCTATTCTAATCTTTGAAAACACTATAGCAAAATATGAAGAATGAACAAAGTAAAATAACTTACAGGAAGGGTGAACCGTAACTCTTTAACATATATGTCATGTATAGTATTTACTTCTTGTGTCATTCACGATGATCAATCGTAATTGTCTTAAATTGTTAATTGTCTAAACTCGTCATAAATATGATACCGGAGAAGACCATAGAGCAGAGGTCCCCATGGATCGACCCACACCGCCACCCACCATGCTTTTCATATTCATATATATGCAAACCGTGCAGCTGCCAAGAACCCATATTTATGAAGAGCTTTCTTGTTTAGGTACATTGGTGAAGGTGGCCATTGATTGAATGTATTGCATTCGCATCCTCCATTGATCCGCCCCATGCAAGCTGCAGATTAAACTCCATTCCCACTCATCAGTCAACACTCGAAACACTTCATATATATAAAGGTTTAATATAATTCTCTCTTTATAAACATTTCTCTTTGCCTTTTCTCTAATCCCTAATAATGGCGTTCCCACTTCCCATTCTTCCTCCTCCATCAGACCATCACATGTAAAGCAATCAATGATTTCATTCTTACCTCCCCCACCTCTATTGCCACCACATATAATAAAATGGCACGCTGTATAATTATAATTCTTAGTCATCCCCATTCATCGAAATGTACACAAAACAGAACTTAAAGCAGCATCCATAGGAAGTAGTGATGACATATTCATCGTATATTATTTTCCTAATTCTTGTTACTCTTTCTATGATGTGTTAGCTACTTAGTCAATCCTCATTTATTTTATTTTACTAAAGAAAGGGTTTTTTTTCAAATTTTGGACGAAGGTAAGTTCCACATTCTATTATTGAATCAAATCATTTAACTATACAAATGTATGGGCGCTTCACTAGGTGGGGAAAGGCTAAACAACAATAGTTAGACAAAATAAAATAATTTTTTTTCTTCTTATATAAAAACAACCCTTCTCGTACCTACACCCTTGACATTTTGAATAGGTAAGCAAGAGAAGCAAACCGATTTTTACGAAGTGAATTGATTGTGTTGTCATGACAGAACGACCAAGCAACAAGGTAATAACACTCTATAAATCAAATTCTTAGTACTCAAAATGTCTATCACTAAAAGTGAATGTTATTACTATTACACTGTGACTTCGGACAAGAGAGCTTGTAGTCGCTAACATTGTAACAAATTAAGAGTTAAGAATCCTGTATGTCATAAGATATCATCGTCCGTCCACGAATTGATTACCGTACCGATGTAGGAAAAAGGGATTCGTAAATGTCACATTTGTCAAGAAAATATATCAAAACTTAGTGATGAGATCTGGACATCTGGTTGATGCATATCATATGAATTATACAATTTATTAATCAAATGGGCAAAAGCGAAGAAGAACAGTTTAACAACCACGCGTGCAGTTGAGCTGTTGATTCATATTCCATTTCATTAATAATATTTACACATCTCTTCATCATTACTGGTTGCCCCGAACCCTCTCTGCAAACTCAGTACACAAAAAAACAAAACATAAAAAGCGCCTAATTTTTGTTTCCATCTTAACGGTTGCAGCAGGGTCTAATTCAATCTTAATTAACAGAGTTAATTAATTAATCACGATTCCACAGCCTTGTAAATCACAACGAAACAAGGCAGGATGGCCTTCGGATTGAACACAAACAACTCCTCCAACCCCGAGTACACACCCGCGGAACCCGCCACCGAATCGTACGCGCCGCCACCACCTCCGGCGCCATCCTCATCCTGCTGTCCCGCCGCCGCCTCATCCCCCGCCACGCGCTTCACTCTCCCGGCGATCACGCGGCAGACCAGCATGGCCCTCCGCCCGACGCTGCCGCACCCGACCAGCGAGTCGTGGGCCCTGCCGCTGCTCGCCGTTGTGCGGACCCCACGGAGCTCCTTCCCGGGGAACCCGTGGCGGACGACGGTGCAGACGCCGCAGCCGGGGATGGCGCCGCAGAGGTTGGACGCTCCACGCGCGCCCAGGGAGCACGTGAGGGTGGTGCAGTGGAAGCGGAGCAGCTCGTTCCCGTCGGCGGCGCACCTGGGGTTCTTGCGCGTGCTGGTCAGCGCCCGTGACTTGACCGCATCGCGGCAGTCCTCGAACCGTTGGATGGTGCGCTGGGTGTTGTGGACCTTGAGGATCCGCTCGATCACGCAGATTGGGCTTTCCTTCTTCATCCAGCTGGACTTGAAGATTATCTCCACGATGTTCCGGCCCGAATCCTCCGGGCCCAACTCCGATACTGTACATGTAACAACACAATTCAACCAACAAACCCGTAAATAATTTTCCCACTCCACTAATTAATTATTTGCGTGGAATAAAATCGGAAATATTCGTTTTAGCTAATTATGGAAGTAGTGGGGGGAATACTATTTACTTCTACGGGTGTCGGTGGGGTCACGTTCTTACTATCCTGAGCTAACGTTACGGGTGGGTGACTGCCTGACTGGGTGTGGTTGTTGTTTAATTATGAGGGAAAATGCCACGTCATCGAATCAATGAAGCATTTAAGTGTATGTACGTATATATTGGTCATCAGAGGGACAGCTGTGTAAGAATTAATTATCTATCTAAATTGGTCCACTAGAAGAAGAACTGTAAAACAGTAAAAAATAATAAAAAAAGGTTAATTAATTAGCGCATTTACCGGCGTGGCGAACTTTCTGATGGAGTTCCAGGCTTTCGATCTTGGGGAACACCTCACCGCACTGCGAGCAAGCGCAGATGGTGGTCCTTGGAGATGGAAACCTGAATAATATTAATAAACTAATTTAATTAAGGTAATTAAATTAATTACAAAGTCGAGAAAATGTAAAGTAATTAAATATCAACATCACAGATTAAGTACAGTAATTAATTAAAGATCAACGCCGAAAGCGATGGGGGGGGGGGGGGGGGGGATTAATTAGTTTACCGGCTGGGGTCAACGATGGTGTGACATTCGTAGCAACCGGAGAGCTTCCTGAATTGCATCCCTCTGGAAGACGCCGCCGTATTAGCATTATTACAGGACGAGCGAGTAGTAGCCGGAGCGATCAGCGACCTGGAGGAGGAGGACGGCGAAGGGCGTCCTCCTCCGGCGGCGGCGGGTTTGCGGTCGTGGTGGTGGCCGAGGGAGCTGGTGTCGGGGGAGTTGTCGGCGCGGTGGACGACGCGCGTGTTGCCGTGGACGACGTCCCGGAAGCTGCAGATGGAGCCGCAGGAGGAGCCGAGCTTATTGGAATTTGGTTTGGAAGCTGCGGGGTCGTGGACGGCGGAGGGTTCGATTTGCTTGCAGGTGAGGAGGTTCTTGAAATGATCCCACGAGGAGGAGGAGGAAGGGGGTGGTTTGGTGTTGGCGTGTTTAGTGGGTTTTGGGAGTTTTTTGTTGATTGGTTTGGTCTTGGTGGCGGTGGTGGTTTTGTTGTTGTGGTGGTGGGAACGGCGGGGAGTGGAGGATGGGGTTTTGGGTTTGTGTTTGTGTTTGGGGGTGGTAGATTCTGGGTAGAGAGTTAGAACCGCCATTTTTGGGTGGTGGGAAAGGAAGGGATTAGAGGAGGAGGAGGAGAAGAGAAAGAGGCATGCGAGAGGGAGAGAGGTAAGCTTTTGGAAGGAAGGGTGGGGAGAGGGATCCAAGACAAGGGTAAATAAGGAGGGAAAAGGGAAGGAGAGAGAGAGAGAGAGAGAGAGAGAGTGAGTGTGAGAGTGATTGTGGTGGTGGGTCAAGTACGTTTTCTGTGAGTGTATTAAAAGATGAAAACGAGATTTGTTTCCAAAGTGGTTAGTGTATGGTTATCAATTGTGGTACTATACTTTAGAGATTAGAAAGAAAATTCAATGCGTTCAGCCTTTGGTTATCCTAGTACGGAAGCTCTTTGTGAGTATGTAATTGGAGCAAGGAGGGTTCATGGAGAGCTAACTACTTACTAGTATAATGCAAGATCTTAAGTTCACCTAAAATTTTGAGATAAAAAAATTGCTCGATTATTTGCGGACAGATTTCACAATAGCCATACTCGTGATTAATATAGCTACACCTTCACATCCGCATACTCAACAGTGGCAATGATCAGACGCCTGATCACAATGCTTGCGTGACAAGTTCATTTGGATTGCACCTATATTGAGGCCAATAATGTGACCTATTAATAAGTTTCAATAGCTAATTCCTTACATCTAAGAGCTTAGAAGAACACATTTTAATTCGTCTTGCTAGATCTCTTGGTTATTGGTTGTAGTTTGATCAGATTAAGGTTGAACTCAAGAATTGTTAATGCATAACAGTTGAGAAGTCAATCTACACGTCGTATTGCCCGAAAAAAGGAAAAATAATCATAGGTATGCTTTCACTAGCTAGTTAAGTTAAGTATGTCAAGAGACATTTCTTTGAATAATTTAAGAATCTGATATATTTATGGCGAAAAATTAACTGTGCACCGTAACAAGGCATAGAAATGTTAAAAAAAAGAAGCATTCATCGATCTCTCTCTTTTCCATTATTAATAGCTCATGTATATTAGGTTTACCTGGTCCTATCCTATGAGAAGAGTTGCATGCTACTTGCTACCCATTGCATAAGAATTCATCAATCAAAATGAATGAAAAAAACAATAATTCAATCATTCCTCCTAGATTTTGGAATTTAACTAGTGGCTTTATTGTGTCACATGACTTTGTGACACTTGCCTTTGCATTTCATCGCCCCTCCTCGATCGGGAGTTGTCTGTGGAGTATAGTTGATTGGCCTGGTCTGACCGTTTGGTGAATGGGTCAATACTCCTCCACAAGTTGTACAAAATGGAAGTACACTTATCATATTGTTATTGCATCTAATAGATAATAAGACGTACACCATTATATTATAATAACTAGTTATATATCTTAGCAAGTAGCTATTCAGGGTAGCCTGCCATGTGGTAGATCGATCGTGTAAGTTCTTAGGATCAATTTTGTGCTGTAACCCACTGATGCATCAGATGGCGATAACGAAAGGGGATCTATGTATATATACACAAATGGGCAGTAGCATGTTGTTATGGTTACATATGGGAAGAGAAGGGCGCACTAGCTATACAGCTTGCTAGTTGCTAGCGACAATCGATGGACGGATGGATCATGTTATAATATCCTCGGAGCTATTCGTTTGTCTTGTTCCTTCCAAATCTTTGTTCCCCTTTTTGTACTATCCTAGCTTCTGTTTTTGTGTTAAGGTGGCCTAATGTGGTCTGAATACAAGAAAATATGTACTCCCAACCTCCACTTGTATCTATCTTATTGGTGGTAGTATTGGTTTTTTGGGTCAGAGTTGCTGAGGTCTCTAAAAGTCATCAAAAGGCTAATTAATTAGCACAAGTTTGAGGGCCAAACCTTTTGGTGTAATAGTGGTGGTGGGAACTGGGAAGGCATAATTTAGGGTGTAAGGGAGTTGGAAATTAAAATGTAGTATCTTATGAGAATTGGATGTGGATGAGAGATTTCCTAATTTATTATTTATATATTACATATGAGCACTTCTACTATGCTATATAGCATTGGTGCTTTAATGTACAACTCAAAGTTGTACCATAACATTAAATGTATAAGTTTAGGTTGTACCATAAAGCAATTTGTACCATTATGTTATGGTACAACTTTATAACTTGAAGTTGTACCATCACATAAAGGTACAAGTTCAAGTTGTACCGTAAAAGAATTTGCACAAAAAGTATAGGTACAATCTGAAGTTGTACCATAACGTAAATGTACAATTTTAAGTTGTACCATAAAGGCAAAAACCTATAGCACCAATACTATATAGCATTGTAAAATTTCTCATTAGATATATGGTGACTTGTTATAGTATATGGAGTAAAAATTGGGGTATTGGCGTATTGCATACACTTGGTAGGAAAGCGATATCTTAACCTCGAATTAACTGGATTTTAGAGCATGATACTATATCATAACCCTTGATGAGTGAACTCTATGTATTAATTATCTAAGTTCTAAATCATTGAATCTAAAGACTAAGATGGTGCATATGATTTATTGCATACGTTTTTTCTATCAAGAGTATGTGGTCCCTTTAAATTTACTCAAAGTAAGATAGAGAATACCACACAAACACATAGTGCCTTTTATCGTACCCCAAAAAAATCTAGGGTACCACATACTTTTGGTATAAAAAAATGCTATTTACACATCGATGTAACCAAATTTTGGGGAATAATACTATACTATAACCCCTTAATGAGTGATCACAAGATCTTAATTATCTAAATCAAAGGCTCTAAACACTAAGATGGTGCATATAACATTTTCGATGTATTTCGACAAATCATGACCATCGATTATTGAACTAATTAATTTGATCTTAGTTTATGAGATTTATAGAATTGATACCTAGATTTTAATCAATAAGAATTAGAGTCAGTATAGTACCATGTCCAAAACTCTGATCAATTCAAGGTCTAGATATCATTTCTTATTCAACCTATGTCATACATTTGATTTTACTCAAGATACGATAGAACCATCCATATATATAGTAAGAAATTGACATCAAAATTTTGAATTGATTGGAATTTGAGCAATGTACTATACCGTAATCCAAAAAATTAAAATATAGGTATTAACTCTACAAATCTCATACAATAAGACTCATTTAATTATAAACAATAATCGAATGTTATCATTCATCATAATATGTGCAACAAACTAAATGCACCATATTACCCTTCCTAAAAGTAATGACAAACACTACACTACACACATGTACCTGCCCTCTACTTAAATTTTAATAATAACAAGTGTGTCTCTCCGTTTATAAATATGCATTAATTGTGGTCTAACTATTTCAATTAACAAAATAATTGAAACAAAATTTTCCTATTAACTAGGAACTAGTATTAACATCATACTAAGTGTTTAGATAATTCCCAATGACATTCATGTTAGATTATTCCCATAACATGAAGATGCTAACTATTTTTTTTATTGTTCTACCCCTAAGCCTTGGAGATGCCATGAACTCCTTAACAAAGAGCTAGCTCCGGTCCCGTATATGTATGTACAAAATCGACCTTACGGCTTACTCATAATAAGCAGTTTTTTGTGGTCCAACTAATACCACAAACCATGTTCATCATATGAATGTCAGAGTGCAAATCAGAGGTCATCTTCACCTCATGTTACTCACACCTGCAACTGAAAAGACAGTAAAGAGAAAAACATGGACCATGATCCCAATTCCTTTATCGTTCATCCCAATACAACTTGACGTGGTGGTTTGGTTTCAGCTTCTTAATGGAGGACAAAGAAACCAAGGGCAAGTAATCTCGGAGACTGAGTAGGTAAAGCAGTTTAATGGTAATGATGATTAAGTGCATGGATCGATGGTGGTGGATATATATCATTGAAACTTTAGCATAATATCAGGGGTATTAGCAGCATAAAGTTGAGGCAAAACATTCCATAAAGTGTGTGGACAACTGGGTTATTAATCATTCTCTCTCTGCGTAGGGCCGAGGAAGGAAGCCAAAAAGAGGGTCTTCTCTTGGCATAAAACAAGCAGAAAAAGCAAAAGGGAATTGAGAGCAGCAGTGAGGCTGCCTGATTTCCATGGATCGTTTCCACGTCTTTCGCTATCCACTTGTTCAACGTGCCCCTGTTTTCTTCACTAGCTACTACACTATCATATCAAGTATGCATTGCACCCACCAGGCCACCACCATCAGCCTTATAACTAGCCTCCCAGCAGAGACCACCGCACTTACTCCTACGTCTACGTACGTACACTATGATCAGTTTCTTTCTTTCCTTTTTTCTTCTTCTTTCTTTTCTGTTGTTTCACGTACAGTGAGGAATGCACCATGGCCGTAATTAAGGAAATTCTTAACAACCGCAGTAAGATCGATGAGGGGTTAAAAATACACCTGGCAAATGGCAATCGGTAGGGTTGGGTGATTTCGAGTTGGGGCATACGGTTACGGGTCGGGTCATGTAGGGTTGGCTAATTTCGGGTTAAATATTGACCCAACCCATTATGTTTCGGGTCGGGTTACGGATCGTTTCTGGTTATGAGTGCTCTCGGAAACAATATAAAACATGCTTCATATATATATATATATATATATATATATATTATAAGGTTGACATCAATTTTATTAATAAGAAAGAAAAGGATTACAAAGGGGAACAAACCAGAAGAAAACAAAGAGAACCCATGAAGGAACTGAGAAGAAAGACAAAGCATCAAGGCAAACCACCCTGCCCCAAAGCAGGGAAAGAACCTCTCTAGACAAACAACCAAACGAAAAAGAACAGAAACATTCACCCAACTCGAGTATTGCTAGAGTTTCCTACCAACAATTGCTCCTTAAGAGAAGAGTACCAAGTTTCGGCAACATTCTGATCCACCTTCTTTGAACTGATCAACCATCCGGCAATACGACAACCAATTATGTAGCTCACCAACAGTGGCGTTGACAGCTTCTTTTCAAATATTCTCGCGTTCCTTTCCAACCACACGCACCAGCACAGAGCATGTAACAACACTCGGGAACACCAATCAACAGGGCTTTGAGGTTGTTGTGAATTCCATCATGCAATAACACTCACCAAGCTGCTATGGGTGATGCAATCATTTTCACGAACTTTCCAATAATCTTCCAAACATCTTTGACGAATCTACAACTGAGGAAGAGATGGTCAATGTTCTCTTCGGCACTCCTGCACAAGACGCATCTATTTGGCATCACCCACCCTTTTTTCTTTAAATTGTCTTGTGTCGGAATCCTCAAGTGGTACGCCGTCCACATGAAGAAGCATATCTTCAACGGAACCTCCTTCCGCCAGATCATTTTATGCGGAAAAGCATAGACTCCTGGATACTTCTGAGCAATGCAAGCCTCATATAAGGATTTAACTGAGAACCCCTTGGACGGGTTGTGCTTCCAAATGGAATATAAGCATAGAGTCCTGGCAGGACCTGGAAACAAAGAAGGAATAGAAATGGAATCTAGGAGATTCGTCATCATAGCCCTCTCTCTCTCTCCGCCCCACCCCTAAGAGAAAATTTTAGCTCAATAACCCATGAAACACTCTCATGCTCAACCTGCAAGTTATCTAATACGTGACAGTTGGGAGACATGGCAGCAGCAGCTGTCAAAAACCAGTTGGTCCCAATAACTCGAGTTGTTGGGAGAAGGTTATGTTGGATCTTTATACCACTCTCTAACACGCCCCCTCAAACGAAAGCCAACCCATGGGCTTGAAGTTTGCACAGGCCCACCATACCTTGTGCTTTTAATCAAAGGTTAATATTGGGGGTCGTGGAGATTCGAACACACGACTACTTGGCCAAACCAGCTCTGATACCATGTCATAAACCAGTTGGTCCCAATAACTCGAGTTGTTGGGAGAAGGTTATGCTGGATCTTTATACCACTCTTTAACATCAACAACTATCGGGAAAGCCTCTGCAAGGACAATGTCTTCGATCCACTTATCATGCCAAAAGGAGTTCCGGGCGCATCCAGCCTCAATAAAAGAGAAGTTCCAAAAAACACTTTTGAGCTTTGCAATTTCAGTCCATGGGCTCCAACCCCTGCTACCAAAGCTTGTTCCCGACATCCAACCTGACTCGACATTGGGGTACTTGAGAGCAATCAGATTCGTCCACCAAGATTCCTTGTTTATTGCAAATTTCCACCATCATTTACAAAGGAGAGCACAGTTTCTTTTCTCGAAGTCAGGGATCCCAAGTCCCCCAAGGTTTTTAGGCCTTTTACAAGTGCTCCACCCAACAAGATGCATCTTGTTATTCTCTACAATACCAGACCAGATAAAATTACTTTGGATCTTCTCAATTGCATCGATAACAACTTTAGGTGCTCTGAATAGGGAGGCTAAGTAAAGTGGTTAGCTGGCTAAACAGGCATTGCTGAGGATAATTCTACCACCTGTGGAGAGGAAGCGCCCTTTCCAGCCATCAAGCTTCCTCTGCATTCTCGATATGACCGGATCCCATATTGATTTTGTTGTCGGTGAAACCACAAGAGGCATGCCCAGGTACAGCGTTGGGAGGAAACCCCAATCGCAGCCCACAATCTCAACATATCTCTCAATATCATCAACTTCGCCAACCGGGAAAACTCTGCTTTTTTCTAAGTTGATCCTTAAACCTGTAATGCTTTGAAAGCACACAAGAGCAGCAGTCACATTAAGGATTTCCTCCTCGCTAGCATCACAGAAAATAATGGCATCATCTGCGTAAAGAAGATGCGTCATCTCGCCACTTCGACTTGACTCATCCATACAGAATCCCGATATCATTCCAGCCTCACTCATTTTGAGAAGAATGTGCGATAGGAGGTCTATGACAATATTGAACAGAAAAGGCGAGAGAGGGTCACCTTGTTTGAGGCCTCTCTCCATCCCGAAGAAGCCAACAGCCTCCCCATTAACCAAAACAGAGAGCTTTGTAGATGTAACTGTACCCATAATCCAGTTTTAAAGTCGCCTCTCTAACCCAAAAGCACCGAGCACCTTCTTGATAACCCCCAATTCACGTTGTCAAACGCATGCTCAATGTCAAGTTTCAAAACAATTCCCAGCTTCTCGCTCCTTTGCCTACTATCGAGAACTTCGTTAGCAAGAAAACAAGCTTCATGTATCTGTCTACCCTTGATCCCTACAAACTGGTTCTTAGAGACAAAACGGCTCATAAAAGGGCTAAGTCGCCGCACCAGAACTTTAGAAATAATTTTATTGAGACTTCCAACTAAGCTAATCGGTCGGAAATCTTAACTTCCTCCGCTGCATCTTTCTTCGGGAGTAGACATATAAACGAATGACCAACGGATTTTGGAAGCGAACCCAAGAAGTAAAACTCATCCAAAGCCTTCAGGAGGTCATTCTTGATCACATGCCAACCACTTTTGTAAAACGCAAGGGTGAAAGCGTCCGGGCCAGGGGCCTTATCACCATCACAGTTCTTAATAGCCTGCCAGATTTCAACTTCAGTAAAAGGCTTCGCCAAGGAATAATTTTCATCAAGGCTAAACACATCAGGCTTAAAACTCTTTGGGAAGGGGTTATTGGTGTGGTTGTCGGCGAATCTGGCAACAAAATGATCCACAAAAGCGTTCTTGATGCCATTAGGATCGGAAACTCTTTCCCCATTGATTTTGACAAAGTGAATCTTATTCTTCCTTCTGTTATTACTCGCCATTCTGTGAAAGAAGCCTGTGTTCTTGTCCCCAATAGAAAGCCAAAGTTCTCTTGACTTTTGTCTCCATGCAATTTCTTCCATTAGAAGCAATTTTTCAAGTTCACATTTCAACATATTCTTCTCCACTCTTGCATCTTCAGGAATCACACCTTGTTCCTCCATTTGATCAAAAAATTTGATCTTCCTCAGAAGATCCTTTATTCTTTGCTCAACACGACCAAAGTGATCTCTGTTCCAACATTTGATAAGTGCTTTAGCTTGTTTAAGCCTTTGGCCAAATAAGAATAACACCCCATGGCCGTTAACAGGCACATTCCACCATCCAACGAGACGAGTGGAGTAGCTTTCATCCAGGATCCACATGTTTTCAAAACGCCAGGGTCTCCGAATCCTGTCTAAAGCACCCCATTTAAGAAAGATAGCACAGTGATCAGATTCCACCCGATCTAGAGCCATGATAGAATCAGGGGAGAAACTGCTATCAAAACTAGAATTGATGATTGCCCTATCAATTTTCGAGAAAGAGCCCGACCCGTTGCTCCAAGTAAAAAGGGAACCAGACAAGGGCAAATCCAGTAGATCGCAATCACTGATAAATTCATTGAACTTCGTAATCACCTCAATATCTCTTGGTTGACCTCTATAATCATCATTACCTTGAACCAAATTGAAATAGCCAATAATGCACAGAGGATCGGAGTAATACCGACAAACCATACGAAGCTCACTAATGAATTCCAGTTTATCTTCCTTCTTTTGCGGACCGTAAACAACCAGTAAGGAAATATCTTTCCCTGTGCTGATCTCACAAAGCTTAACTTCAAGAGTAAACTTACCTTCCCACTCAATCTCTCTTTTGAAAACCCTTCGATCCCAATAAATAGCTATTCCGCCCTTAGCTTCAACAACATTCTTTGCATCCCAATCCGAGAAACGACTCCCACTAACCGAGCTAATCAACCTCTGACTGTAGCTCCTCCATTTCGTTTCTGTAAGGACAACGATATCCGGTTTCCAGCGTCTCAGAAGTCCTTTGATCTTGGCCCTATTATCACACGACCCCAAGCCTCTTACGTTCCAGATGAGAATTGACTGAGTCATGATTTAAATAGATTATTGATCGCAGAACTCTAACAACTACCTGTTTTCCTTCTTCTTTCAACTGGAGTTGGGAAATTCTCGTCAATCCCCAGTCTATGCTTTTCCATTTGTAGCTTTGACCTCGGGCCCTTCTTTCTCTTTCCTCTAAATTCCAAAACTAGTTCCTCGATCTGCCTTTCCACGTCATTACCCGGATTGTGAGTCTCCAGCTCCAAAAGATTACAAACTTGGAGGCTTCTATTGATCAGGTTCTCCAAGTCGCATTTTTTCTGCCAGTTCTTGAAATAATCCGTTCATATTTTTTTAAAGAACACAAATTTTCACATATGTATAACAATAGTTTACCTAACACATGTCAATTTACGTATTCTCAAATCCTCCCATTCTAATGAAATGAAATAGATATTGCGCTCATCGTCAAAAAACAATCACAAGAGTAATGCAATTACAAGAAACTCATGATATTTGATTATTCTTAAACTCCAAACATGTCATTCAAATCCTTGTGAATTTTTTCAAATATCTCACCAGTTTATGAGTGATGTTATCATTTTGGAAGTGATATATAAAATAAAACGGGTCTAACGGGTCGACCCGCAAACCCACCCAACCAGACCCAAAAAATTACGGGTTATTGGGTTCGGGTTTTGAGTTATAAAAACTTCTACTTTTCGGGCGGGTTCTGGTCGGCTCAATGGGTCGAGTTGTAATTTGTCAGATCTAGTTAATAGCCTACCGTATACAATTTTCTTAATGTTTCTTCGATATATGATATGAATACACAAATTATATCTTAGATAAAATATCGAAGGGAGAGAGAAGGGTGGTAGTCCTTCATGAACTAAACTTAAATCTGGCACCAATTGTTGAAATGTATTTTTATTTTACATTATAGTAACAACCATAAAATAGTGTTATGTACTAAGCAAACAATCTAAAAGCTGAAGTGGTGGGGTATTAGCCAACTCTCCTTCTTCGATACCCATAATTTTTACATCTACCCCTCATCACTCCGAGTCGTGACTTTGCCCATGTGTTCTTAGGGTGGACTTGGCGCTAATTAGAGTTTGTTGGGTTGGATTGATAACTTGATAGAATCAAACTGAGTGACAAACTTTTTCTTACTATACTGGATATATACTACTGACGCTTACTCACTTCCTTAGGTGGCCGAAAACGAGGCATAAACTCCCCCCTTGTCCTTGGTCTAGGCCACCCAATGGCACAGAATACACAAATAAAAATCATCAAGAAAATGTTTAATAATAGGCAAGGATTTCAAATCCATTCTCCAACCCAGCTCGACCGCTGAAGCAGATGGCGTGATGAAAGAAGAAGATGAAGATTCAAATTAAAACTCACCGTTTTGCTAACTTGTCCAAGTTGTGTCGTTTTTACTTCTTTTCAAGTATGTTGTTGTTTTCTTTTCAAGCAAACAAATAAGACGCTATTTGGAGGTTCTTGTCTCCTTCTGAACTGAGATTGTATAAAAGAACACAAGAGATCAATGAGAGGTTTTAAGCCTAAGGGTTTCAATTGTTGTTATGGTATCAGAGCCCTTGACCTAGCTTTGCTACCGCCGCCATGGATGGAAATGCTTAAAACGTTGAGCAGCCCCCACCACAACCTCGGAATCAGCAAAAGAATCAAGCACGGCAACATAATCAAGCACAACAAAACCTTTACCAAATGGAGGATCCATACTTCTTAAATGGATCTGAGCAGCCTGGCCTTCTCTTAGTGGGCGAGAAGCTTACAACCACCAACTACAACGATTGGAGTAGAGTCATGTATATACTGATGTACAATGCTCTTGCTGCCAAAACGGACATGGATTCATCAATGGAGTGCTTGCCGAGCCAGATGCCACAAATCCACTTCATGGAGCCTGGGTCCATAACAACATCATGATCCTCAGTTGGATCCAGCGGGCTGTTGACTCAGAGATCCGCAAAACCATCCTTTCAAGCAAGATAATTGTTGAAGCCTGGAAAAGTCTCCAATCCATGTATTGATCTAGAGATATCATTCGTGTGGCTGAGATACAAGAAGCATTATCTTCTCTCCATCAAGGTAATCAAACCATTACTAGGTATTATGGGAAAGTCATTACATTGAAAGATGAGTTAGATAATTATCAGCCACTCTTACCTTGTGAATGTACACCAACTAGTCATAGAGACTGTAGAGCTATGCAAAAGGTACTGAAGTATCATGGCACCATCTATGTTATCAATTTCTTTAGATGTTTGAATGAAAACTTTGTTGGGGTTAGAGATCAAGTCATGTTTTGTGAAGAACTGCCATTTATCAATTGTGTTTTTCAAATGCTCCTGCAACATGAGAGACAAGTCTATGGTACTTAGAAAGGCAAGATTATTGATGTTGCCAATAATGAGCCCATAGCTCTTGTTGTTCAAGGTGGAAACAAGAGGCCAAACCCACCCGAAAAGAGGCCATTTTGCACCCATTGTAAGAATGAAGGTCATACTCAAGACATCTATTACCATATTCATGGTTGGCCTCCTGGCATGTCTCAAAGACCACCTGCTTCTTAAGGAAGAGTGCTTGAATGCACAGTCTATAAGAGGACTGGCCACACTGAATACAGATGCTTCCAAAAGCATGGTTACCCTCACAGTTCTAGTGCAAGAAATGATGCAAATAGTGGACCACGTGGCAGGACTTATGCCAATCAGTTGTTGCTGATACTGGAGAGCAGGAAGTCAGGCTCATCAAGAGTGATTATGACAAACTAATGATCTTGATGCACAATCAAAAGGGTCCAGCCTTTGGCTTTATAGCTGCAACTTATGTCTCCAAGACAGGTAAATACCTATTTTTTATACCTAGTAAGGTTCACAATACTACAAGTGCTCAATCTTGGATACTTGATACTGGTGCTTCAGACCATATTACATGCTCTCTTGATTACCTTACTTATCACAAACTAGTTGAGAATATTTACATTACTTTCCCTACTGGTGAACAAATCCAAGCAACTCATGTTGGAACTGCTAAGTGCAAAACCTCTCTCACACTTGAGGAAGTCCTCTTTGTTCTCGATTTCAACTTCAACCTGGTTTCAGTGAGCAAGCTGACAACCAACCAACCACTTTTCTTAACCTTCTATTACGACTTTTGTCTCATATAGGACCTGAAGTTGAAGAGAATAACTAGTTTTACTAGAATGTTCAATGGTCTCTATCATCTAGAAGTAGATTGTCAACCTAAAATCATCATTGTTGCTAAAGCTTCTGTTTTTTTTTTCTTTGGCACTTTAGACCATGACATGTTTCCCATTATAAATTTCATTTTCTTCACCAAATTTGTACCTCCATCCCAACTTACAATGACATGTTTCCAATTAGTCAAACTGTAACTCGGAAACCTTTCCAATTGCTTCATGTTGATATAAGGGGTCCAAACCCAATTCCAACTTATGATGGTTTCAGATAATTCCTCACCATTGTTGATGATTATTCTCGTTTTACTTGGATTGTTCTTTTACAACTTAAATTCGAAGCCAGACCTAAACTTATACATTTTTTTAACCAAGTTGAAAGACAATTTCAGACTGCTATACAAAAGATCAGAAGTGATCAAGAAAATGAGTTTCAAATGGAGGATTTCTTTAACAACACATGCATCCTATGTGAATTGTCTTGTGTTGAAACACCTCAACAAAACAGTAAGGTAGAAAGGAAACACCAACACATTCTTGCTGTTGCTAGAGCCCTTATGTTCCAAGCTTACTTACCTGCTAGTTTTCGGGGAGACAGTGCCAAACATGTTGTCTTTTGATGAGTAGATTTTCGGTATTGGGATTTGGGGTATTTTTCCGTTGGGCTAGGGTGTTTTTTTTCTTTTGGGTCAAGTTTTCCTTTCGTGTTTGGGAAGGGGGTAGCCGAATAGGGGTAGGACTAGGTTAAGTATTAGGCTTTTCTAAGCCTATAAATATGTACCTTTGGCATTAGTTTCGTATCAATCAATAAAGTTAAGGTTTATCGACACCAACATCGTTCTCTCCCTCTTGAGTTTCGAGCAAAACCCTATAATAGAGGAAATCTGTTCATCAATTGGTATCAGAGCCTAATTCCAAATCCATTCGGGGCCTGATCGCAATGGGTACGAGCACAGCAGTGGAACAATGTTCAACATTGGAAGCTGCGGTGGAGGACAGGAAAGTCCTAGCGCAGAACAGTGCGCTGGGCTAGGAGGAGGTACGGGGGCAGGTAGCCGAGATCTTGGAAACGTTGAAGTCTCTGGTGACCAATGTGGAGGCGTTGACGCCACAATGGGAAGGGAAGAAGACAGTGACGGTTTCGTCCGCTAGAGAGGAGAGCTCCGAGGAAGGGGACAAGGAGAAGAGTAGCACGGAAGAGAAGGAGGGCGAGAATAGTACAACAGGGTGAAAATTGGGGAGAAGAGCTGGAACCGGCCGAGGACAGATGACGGCAGCGGCTGTCACACGGGGCGGGGAAGCTTCGGCGGCAAGCCAGTCGACGACGGGAGTGGTCGCAGCAACGGCGGGGGCGGGTTTTTGGTGAAACTCGCGCGGCTGGAGTTCCCCAAGTTTGCGGGGGAGGATCCGGGGTTGTGGTTTCCACTAGTTGAGCATTTTTTTGAGTACCAGGAGGTTCCAGAGGACCATAAGGTGCCACTAGCTGCCTTTCATCTGGAAGGGGAGGCAAATCAGTGAGGTCAATGGTTGAAACGAACCTATAAAGATACCAGGGAGCCGATTTCTTGGGAACTGTTATCGCAGGAGCTATGGGTGAGATTCGGTCCGACCGAAGGACAAAGCTGCGACAAAGCCCTATCACGGATTCGTCAAACAGGGTCCTTGCGCGATTACCAGAAGGAATTTGAGAAGCTGGCTAATCGTTGTGTCAGCTGGACACAACAGGCGTTGGTGGGTACGCATTTAGGAGGTCTGAAATAGGAGATCGCCGATGAGATCCGAATGTTTCGTTTCCAGTCTTTGCGCGACGCCATTA